CAAAGGATTAGAATTAACAAATGAATTTGGCAAAGTCACTGGATACAAGGTCAGTATGTGAAAAAGTCAATTGTATTTTTACATACTAGCAACAAACATTCAGAATGTGAAATATATCTTAGTATTTATATTAGTATCAAAAGACATCAACCAACTGGGTGTTAACAAAGGATGTGTAAGACCTCTACACAGAAGATCATAAAATGTTATTAAGAGAAAAATTTTAAAACCTAAATAAATGTCAGGATCCACCATACCCGTGAGCTGTAAGTCTCAATGTTTTAAGGCATCAATACCCCCAAACTGATCCCTGAAGTCATTATCATTATAACCAATATCCCAGCAGCTTGTCTGGGAAATTGACAAGCTGATCCTAAAATGTATATTGAAAATACAAAAGGCCAACAATGATGAGATGACTCTTGAAGACCAATGTTCACTGTAGGATGGCTTATGCAGTTGACCCTTGAACAATGTGGGAGTTAGGGGCGGCAGCCCTCTGTGCAGTTGTGCAGTTGGAAATCCACGTATAACTTATAGTCAATGCTCTGTACCCATAGTTTCTCTGTATCCACAGTTCCACATCCATGGTTTCAAGCAACCTCGGATCCTGTAGTATTTACTCTTGAAAACAATCCGTGTACAAGTGGACCCATGCATTTCAAACTCGTGTTGTTCAAAAATTTTACAATTTGTATGGAAACACAAAAGACCCCAAATAGCCAAAGCAATCTTGAGAAAGAAAAATGGAGCTGGAGGAATCAGGCTCCCTGACTTCAGACTATACTACAAAGCTACAGTTATTGAGACAATATGGTACTGGCACAAAACCAGAAATATAGATCAATGGAACAGGATAGAAAGCCCAGAGATAAACCCACACACATATGGTCACCGTCTCTTTGATAAAGGAGGCAAGAATATACAATGGAGAAAAGACAGCCTCTTCAATTAGTGGTGCTGAGAAAACTGGACAGCTACATGTAAAAGAATGAAATTAGAACATTCCCTAACACCATACACAAAAATAAACTCAAAATGGATTAAAAACCTAAATGTAAGGCCAGACACTTTCAAACTCTTAGAGGAAAACATAGGCAGAACACTCTATGACATAAATCATAGCAAGATCCGTTTTGACCCACCTACTAGAGAAATGGAAATAAAACAAAAATAAACAAATGGGACCTAATGAAATTTAAAAGCTTTTGCCCAGCAAAGGAAACCATAAATAAGACGAAAAGACAACCCTCAGAATGGGAGAAAATATTTGCAAACAAAGCAACTGACAAAAGATTTATCTCCAAAATATACAAGCAGCCCATGCAGGTCAATATCAAAAAAACAAACAACCCAATCCAAAAATGGTCAGAAGACCTAAACGGACATTTCTTCAAAGAAGATACACAGATTGCCAACAAACACATGAAAGGTTGCTCAACATCGCTAATCATTAGAGAAATGCAAGTCAAAACCACAATGAGGTATCACCTCACACCAGTCAGAATGGCCATCATCAAAAAATCTACAAACAATAAATGCTGGAGAGGGTGTGGAGAAAAGGGAACCCTCTTGCACTGTTGGTGGGAATGTAAATTGATACAGCCACTATGGAGAACAGTATGGAGGTTCCTTAAAAAACTAAAAATAGAACTGCCATACAACCCACTACTGGGCATATACCCTGAGAAAACCGTAATTCAAAAAAGAATCATGTACCACAATGTTCATTGCAGGTCTATTTACAATAGCCAGGATATGGAAGCAACCTAAGTGTCCATTGACAGATGAATGGATAAAGAAGATGTGGCACATATATACAATGGAATATTACTCAGCCATAAAAAGAAACGAAATTGAGTTATTTGTAGTGAGGTGGATGGACCTAGAGTCTGTCATACAGAGTGAAGTAAGTCAGAAAGAGAAAAGCAAATACCATATGATAACACATATATATGGAATCTAAAAAAAAAAAAAATGGTTCTGAAGAACCTAGGGGCAGGAATAAAGACGCAGACATAGAGAATGGACTTGAGGACCTGGGGAGGGTTCAGGGTAAGCTGGGATGAAGTGAGAGAGTGGCATGGACTTATATATACTGCCAAATGTAAAATAGATAGCTAGTGGGAAGCAGCCGCATAGCACAGGGAGACCAGCTCCGTGCTTTTTGACCACCTAGAGGGGTGGGATAGGGAGGGTGGGAGGGAGACACAAGAGGGAGGAGATATTGAGATATATGTATACATATAGCTGATTCACTTTGTTATACAACAGAAACTAACACAACATTGTAAAGCAATTATACTCCAATAAAGATATTAAAAATAAATAAATAAAAATAAAATAGGATCATTAAAAAAAAAAAACCCTTGTTGTTCAAGGGTCAACTGTAATAGCAAAAATAAATAAATAAGTAAAGTAACCTAAATTCCCATTAAAAGGGGAATGCATAAATAAAATGTGGTATTCTTATGTAGTGAAATACTAAATAGTTAAAAAGAATATATATATATATATATATATATATACACACATACATAATCACTGAGCTTTAAAAACACAGTAGTGGATGAAAAAGCAAGCTGCAAAATATGTATAGCATAACACATACATGTACATTTCTAAAGTATAAAACTACTGTGTATTATTCCTTGACACATATATGTGTTACTGTATTTTTAAATGGCTGAAGGACGCACTGAAGTCGTGACAGCAGCAGCCTCTGGGGCAGAGGGGGAAGGGACTGGGATTGAGGATGGAGAAAAAGGAGTCTGTCACTTCATCTTAATTGTCCTACTTCCCTTATTTAAAAAAAAAAAAGGCAAATATGACAAAATGTTAACATCTGTTCATTCCGGGTGACAGCTCACAGGGTGTTAGTTATATTATTCTTTGTGCTTTGCGCTTTGTTTAATTTCTCAAAATGAAAAAAACTTAAGTTGAGATAACAGCATCTTTCATCATTTAGTCTTAGACTTATTTATGGTTTAGGTATTTTATGTTCCTGTTTGTTTTAAAAATAAATGTATATAAATATAGGCATAGCTGAGACAGCTAAATCTCCTTCCTTTGTTTATGTTCACAAGGCGCACTTGTTTTATTTAACATTCTTTGCTATCAGAACGTGGTCTTTATATACAAACTCGTGAGTAGTAAATCATGAGGGCTCACGGTTCTACCACAGTCTGTCTATTAAGAACGTACTTCCTATGGTAGACGTCCGCATACACCTCGATCGCTAGAAGCATCCGTTTGTATTGGAGCCAAAATAGCCACAAGCAAACAGAGAAACAAGAAGTCCAAAAGATTTCCTCTTTGGTGCTGATGATTTGTTGGTACTGATTGTTAAGACTGAAGGTCTGAAACCACCAATGTTTATTGGCTCAGTCTGCAGTATGCCTCTCCAGGGTCATTTCCACAAGATTGACAAAGGAATGAAACTCCCGGGGCTTCCCTGGTGGCGCAGTGGTTGGGAGTCCGCCTGCCGATGCAGGGGACACGGGTTCGTGCCCCGGTCCGGGAAAATCCCACGTGCCGCGGAGCGGCTGGGCCCGTGAGCCATGGCCGCTGAGCCTGCGCGTCCTGAGCCTGTGCTCTGCAGCGGGAGAGGCCCGTGTACCGCAAAAAAAAGACAAAATGAATGAAACTCCCTGCCTTTTCCACCACTGCCAGTGCTTCCCGCGTTAAGCTGCGTGCAGCACAGAAGTCCCGCTCCGGCGGGGTGGAGGGCACTCTCAAAGTCCTTTATCACATGATGGTGATGCTGGACAGATGGTGGTGAGGGCACTTTTACAGACACATCACACACTACAGCTATTAGTCATTGGACAGGTAGTCTGGCAGCCTTTGGAAGTACACCCAAGGTGATTGCTATGACCATATTTGAAAAGTTGACAGATAAATGTGGATTTAAAACAGACTAAATATTAAACAATTAAGCCCTAAGTTGCGGCTTTTAAACATGCACAGGTAGGAGTGAGGTGGGGACCTCCATACCTTGCCTTCAGGGATCCACCAGGGTCTTCAACTAGAGTAGAACTCAGGTCTCTCTCACCTTATTCACTGCTCCCCACAAGCAGGTGCAGAAGGAAGTTATCCGAAAGAAGCAACTGAGCATGCTCAGTTCAGACCCTTTTGTCTAATTTTGGAGACAGCCTGTCCCCAGGATATATGTCAACACACAAGCGCCAATTATTAGCAAGCCCTCTCTGACACAGATCTGAAGTTATGTTCTCTCCAATCAACTTTGTCAGTAACAAAAGCAATATTTTTAGCTCCATCTCTCTGGCCTCTACCTCTCAACTGGTTCCAAAGTCAAGAGGGGAAGAGGGAGCAGGCACTATTAATTATGCCCCTCCAAACCTGATGATCAATTAATATAAGACCTCAAGATGATAAATTAATATAATCCATGATACCAACCAATAATTTATATACCAGAATTATCTTATCTGAATAGTTAACTGAGCGTTGCTCACTTACTTTTAGATTTCATAAGTGTGGTTAAAAAAATAAATGTATGTACGATTTATCATGGCATGCTTGAACTCTCATAGCTTGAGACAGACTCCATTAAAATGTGCATTTTATAATATATTATATTATCTGCATAGGTGTCAAGTATACACAGAGAATGGATTTAACTCAATCATTTAACAGCACAAACAAAACCTACCAAAGAAACAACCCCACATGCTGTCACAGAACACAGTTCTGCATATGGCCAGCGGTACGCAGGCAGAACCTAGTGGTTTTAAGGATGAATTAGTGTTCTAATCTCTTTGGGATTTCCTTTATATTAGTGGTGGTTTATGACTGACATTTAATGTAACTGGAGCTTTCTGTTTATATTTAATAGAAGATTCATTTCTGTGGCAGGATCCACATTTACGCGCCAGTGTTGAATAAAAGCTACTGTTCTGCAAGAGGGATGTAAAATGTTGATTTATGACGACACATTCCAGTAACAGTGATCTGATTCTTCCAAACCCTCTCACCAGGTCCTGGGAACAGCATGGTTCCGGCAAAGTATGATTCTTCCCTTCCAGAATATTCAGGCTTCAACACATCTGTCCATGCTGCCATCAGGCACAGGAACTGGAAACTCCTCACGGGCTACCCAGGTAGAAGGCTTAACATTTCCCACTAGAACAGCTAGGAAAACTTTACCAAAGAGCAACTGTCTTTTGCAAAACATGAGCTCTGGGGCTGCTGAATGAGGGGAAGGAGTGTCATCTGGTCCTAAATTTTTAAAAAATTAACAATTAACTGTAGAGGTGGGGGGAGGGTGAAAGGAAGAAATGCAGCTCTAGTGCTTCATGGAAAATAAGGGTTTCCGATATGCACGACCGTCAAGCACAGCACTTCTAGCTAGCAAAGAGCATCTCTGAAAGCTACATCTTCAACCAATGGTATAGCGGGGGGAGGAGGTTGCTTCCCCTGAGCACATTCTCTACAAGTGACATCTTTTAAATATTTTTATGGTATGTGGTATGATGGTTAAGATTGTGATGCAATTAAGCAATGTTTATAATGAGGGCATTCTTGGCGTTTGCGGCAAGACAATCCTTCATCGTTTGTGACTGTCCCATACGTTCTAAGATATTTTAGTATCCCTGGCCCAGACCACTAAATGGCAGTAGCACCCCCCGACAAGTCACTGTGACAACTAAAAATAACTACCACCACCACCACCCCCAGACACACACACATGAGACATGTTTAGTTAAAGCACCAGAAGTCAGAGTCGGAGACAGATCTAGACATAGCATCAAGGGCCAGATTTTTTTACGTGTCCATACCCACAACAGAGCTCAGCCTTGTCCCCCAGACTCCTTACTTGAAATTAGAACCTGCCTACAATACTCCTCCTCCAATAAACTGTTGTATTTCTTTGCCAGGCTGTGGTTACTGGTTTCCTCCACCATCTCAATATAATGTTTCCGTGATACCCTCCTTGGACCCACCAACCAAGACCTTCTGGCTCTTTGACATTGATCAGGACCCACAGGAAAGGCATGACCTGTCAAGAGAATATCCTCATATCGTCAAGCAGCTCCTTTCCCGTCTGCAGTTCTACCAGAAACACTCGGTGCCCGTGTACTTCCCAGCACAAGATCCCCGCTGTGATCCCAAGGCCACTGGGGCTTGGGGCCCTTGGATGTAGGATTTCAGGCAACCTAAGGGGCAGCTAGAAAGCCTTTCTGTTGCGAGTTGGACTTCAGGCCTTTACTTTGTGACTCTTGTCTCATTGTTCCCCCAACCTGGGTTCACCTGGCCCTTCTCTTGCTCCTAAACCACACTGAGGTGTCTAATTTCAACCCCTAGTACATTTGAGATGCTGATAAAATCTGAACACTTCTGCTGTTGACTGGGGCGTGTGTCTAGAGGAGAGGGTGACTGGCTTCATTCCCTCTTTCCTGAGCTGTGGGACAGCGGGGAACACGATTTGAAAGAGGAAGTTGTTGAGTCTTGGAACCTGGAGCAGCTGGTTCTTTTTGCCTCACAAGTCAGATGTTAGAGTTCCCTCTGCCCATAGCTGGGTTTTATTGGAGTGATTCACATTTCTTGAAACAAATGAAAGGGTCAGACAGTTGTTAATGGTTCTGTTGGCCAGGAGTTCTCCCTGTCTGTGAGACATCGTGTTTAGGCGTCCCATGTGAATACGCTGGCTTGGTTCACCCCTCGCTCATGCATCTCTTCACTCACCTCGTCACTCATCCCGTCATGGAGCATAAGGCTCGTTACATTATTAAGATCAGTGTGGCACTAGGCCTACTCCTTGGTTTTGGTTTCTACAATAGGGAAATTTGTTTTTTCCCCAGTTTTTTCCAGCCACTGCTCATCTTGTCTGGACTGCCTGCTACCCCGCTTCCTTTGTGGTTCTTTTTCTACCCTTTCTTCTGACTGATGTATCCCATGCCTGGGAAGGGTGCTTCGCTTCTCCACTATGAGCACCACTGGTTTTTGGAACACTGCTGAGGCCTGCCTTCCTTTTGCTCCTGACACTGAAACTAGAGCCCCGCCCAGAAAGGGCGGTGCATCTGGCTCTGTGGGCATGCTCATGGAAGTGCTTGGGTCTCTGTCATCTGCTTGGTGACTTTTTTTCTAGTTTATTCTCATGAGTGTAGCTATGTCTCATAATATATTCAGTTGCACTGCTCTTCGGTAGCAGTGAGGAGAAACCTTGGAAAAGGATAATATTGTCCTGAGACGATGCAAGTAGGCAATTTGAAAAAGGAAATGGCCGGCATCCGGGATACCGAGCCTTGGTAACACAGATGAAGGTACATCCACGTTCCTCTTATTCTCTCAGTTTTACTGCTTGTATTGAGGTTCTGAAGTTGAGGGAGGAGGATGCACAGTTTGACCTGCCAGCTCTTTCTTAGCCCCACCAATGTCCTACTAACGTGGACCAGTCCAGATTAGCTTCAGGAGTGTCAAACTCGGAGAAGTATGTCCAAAAACTATACTCTTTTTTTACATTAGCTCCACTGTTTCATTCACTGCCTATCATCAATGCCTGGATCAATGCCTGGTACATAGAAGGCACTCAATACACTTTAAAAAAAATAAATGAATGAATGAACAAATGAGTAAATGAGAAAGTCTCACACCATGGAAGGTGCTAATCCAATGAGCTGAATACGGGGCTGAATATAAATATCTTCCAACCGTAGCTTTTCTGTTCTCGAGCTGCCCTCCTGGGGTAGGAGCACAGTCTGCATATCTGGGAAGTCTAGGACATGCCATAGTGAAGTTGTAATGCCCTCTCAGAGGGAGAGGGGAGAAAAATATGCCTACTGAAGATACTCTTCTGCCAATAATCCTCAGTTCTCTTCTGCAGAGGACACTAGAAACTAAAACTACCAAGCTATATGATATAGGTCATGGTACAGCCATTCCTTCAATTCAGTAGCAATATTCTCCGGTTACGACTAACTTGTATTAAAATAACAATGATTGGAAAGAAATGGTGCTAGAATTAATGACACCTGTTACCAACATGTACCCTACTCCTGGGCTGGCATGCATCTGGCCAGAATGCTACTAACTCTCACTCCCAAACCTGTGGTGGATATTATGAACTAACTGAGCCCAGAGGTTCCTTCCGGAGCCTTCGAACCCCAAGGCTGTAGGTACCATTCATACTATAAGATTGGAGGCCATCACTACATGATACCTATTTGCTCCCCCTGCTGTCCCAGCAGCTGTTCCCAGTTAGAGTTTCTTGATCGCTATGTACAATGTGGATGTTCTGCACTCGATGGACCTAAAGGGAATTTTAAAGACTGATTTTTTTTTTTTTTTTTTTTTTTTGCGGTACGCAGGCCTCTCACTGTTGTGGCCTCTCCTGTTGCGGAGCACAGGCTCCGGACGCACAGGCTCAGCGGCCATGGCTCACGGGCCCAGCCGCTCCGCGGCATGTGGGATCTTCCCGGACCGGGGCACGAACCCGTGTCCCCTGCATCGGCAGGCAGACTCCCAACCACTGCGCCACCAGGGAAGCCCAAGACTGATTTTTTGGTAAAACTTTTATTTGAGATTTTATGTTATCCATAATAGAATGTACTCATTGAATTTTCTTATTCTGTACAAGAATGTGAACAGATTCACATGCTGTCATTAGGAGTATTAATGGTGTTTTCTCTGATTTTGTTTACCTTTAAAGAAGTTTTATTTAATTTTTTTTCTTTTTACTACCTGATTGTGCCAGATTTGGGGGACAAAAATATTAAATTTATCTTTGAAAATGTGTCAGCTCTGAGTATGGGGTTTCCATTTGGGAGATGAAAAAGTTCTGGAACTGGATAGTGGTGGTGGTCGCACAACATCATGAATGCACTTAATGCCTCTGAATTGTATACTTTAAAATGGTTAAAATGTGTAGTTTTTAAGCACAATTTCAAAAATGTGTTGACCCATTTATGGTATGTGAATTATAACTCAAGAAAGCTATTCAATAAATAAATAGAGCAAAAAATATCAGAGCTAAAAAAGATGTGTCCATCATTGCCCCAAAGACACAAACTATAAAATAGGATATTGGAGGAAGGTCAGGAGAGGGTCGGAGTAAATATAAAGTAATAAGGGAGTGTATTAGTTCTCTATTGCTATATAATAAATTACCCCCAAATTTAGCAGCTTAAAGCAATGAAGATTTGGTACATCACACATTACATGAGAGTCAGGACTTTAGGAGTGGTTTACCTGGGTGGCTCTGGCTCAGGGTCTCTCATGAGGTTGTAGTCAAGCAGTTGACCAGGTCTACAGTCATCTGAAGGCTTGACTGGGGTTAGAAGACCCGATTCCAAGGTGACTCACTCACAAGGCTCTTGGCTGGAGGCCTCAGTTCCTTGCCCTGTGGGCCTCTCCATGGGCTCTCCTCACACATGGCAGCAAACTTCCAGCAGAGCCAGAAATCCAGAGAGAGAAAGAGGGAGCTGCAGTACCTTTTATGACCTGGTCTCCAGAATCATACACTGTCCCTTCCACCTTTTTTCACTTCCTTAAAAAGGAGTCACTAAGTCCAGCTCATACACAGAGGAGGAGAATTAGGCTCCACCTTTTAAGGGAAGTGTTAGACTTGTGGACCTATTTGGCACCACCACAGACAACAGAGGAGAATGGACAAATGTAGCTTCCTGGGGTATTGATTGTACAATCAAGTCCACATGCATTTATCAAATGTTGCTATTTGAAGATAAAGAGTAGAAAAAGCATCCAGCTTTGCTCTTTACTGGTAGAATGACCATGGACAAATCATTTAACCTGCTCTGTGCCTCAGTTTTTTTACCTGATGAAGTGATGGGTTGAAGTAGATAATCCCTAACTTCTCTAGGGTCCAGAACAATTCCTGGCACATAGTAGATGTTCAATAAATGTCGGTTCATTGACTCTCAACTGACTGAATTCTAATACAATGGTGAGAAGTAATAGTGTGCTAAAAATATCCTGAGATCGTGCTCAGTCTTAAAAAAAAAATCTAATTTGGTGATAGAAGTCAGCTTGGTGCTTTCCTTATGGGGAAAGGATACTAACTAGGGAGGGGCATGCTGAAACATTTTGGGGTTTAGAAAATGCTCTATATCTTGATCTAGTGGTCTTTACATGGGTGTATCCATATGTAAAAACTCACTGAGAGGTATACTTAATGCACTTTACAGTTTATATGTTGTACCTAATTAAAAAGTACTTTAAAACAAAAAACACCTGCCCTTAGAACAAAAAGAGCACTACATACTTATAAGTCACAAAAATGTACCTGGAACACACAAACATTTGTAAATAAAACATTTTAAATGCTGCAAGGACATCTATTTGAAGAAACCTTTCTGTGAATCCTTTTGAAAACACAAATTTAGGTTTCTGTATTTACAAAACCTGAATACATCGATTTAGATTTCCTAAACTGAGATTTTGTTACCCAGGTTTTCCTGAAGGAGTCATACCCATGTATCGGTGCTGGGGGAGGGGTGTAGAGACCAGGAAATGACACAAACAAGACTGAGGGCATGGCCACTGGCCCTAAAGGGCTTATGATTCGATTCTGTGGTACCAAGTTATTTCTAGCTCAACAGTTTTTAAGAATAATCCAGCCAATACTAAATGTATTGAAGTAGTGATTATCCTTCCCAGTCACCACTTAAACTTAAAATCTATTTTTTGTCCAAGTAGAGAATAGTCATCGCTTGTGTAGATTGGTTCATTTTCAGGCCATTCCAAGACCAGCCTGCTCACCCTGGCATCACCCTTACCAATCACTAGAGCAGATAGGTTTGACTGACGTAGAGGTACCTGCCACATCCCTTTCACCTTTGCCCCATTGCCATAGGAGCCACCCACCAGACGGCACAAAGCCAAGGAGGAGAGCAGTGACTCACGCTGTCCTGGGCCTGACGTCAGGGCTCTGTGACCATCAGGAAATTGGAGAGACAATTTCATTCTCAAACTAATTCACTCAAGTAACCAGTCATTGAGCTTAAGGTATGTCATTTAATAACCGCTATCATTTTTCTGATAATAGAGATAATAGGTATCGCTGTAAGAATTTTAGAAAATACAGAAAACACATATGAAAGAAAATTAAGCAGTCAATAAGCCACCCACCCAGAGTTAGCCACCATTCACCTTTTTTTACACCCCTTTAAGAGCGGAAGTGACCCACTTCCCAGATTGGTTTTCAAATCCCATTGTGCCCAGCTGAGGTCTCATTGGAGACTCAAGATGGTAGATAAATAAAATGTTGCCATTTTTGGTAATCTTGATTTTAATCCCATTAACGAATTATAGATGATCCCAGGAATGTTACCCTGAAGGGGCATAACTTCTCCTCTCCCTCCTCTCCCCCTCCCTCCCTC